TTTAATTTTTTAAATTTTTTGAAGAAATATACAGTTTGGATGTATTTAAAAATAATTTTAAAAGGGAGGGACCAAACTGAAAATAAGGAATGATTCATTTGAAATGAAAATTTGAAAATTTTGGTCAAAGTGCAAAAATAGAAAAATTGGCCACGTAGGGCAGCCATGTCAGCAGCATGACCAGTCATCGTGCACCGTAAGGCAGACATGCCAGTACACATTCCACGCGGGAGGCCACGTGAGTAATCCGTGTGTCAATCAATCCAACGGCCCGGATTCACTCCCACACGCACAAATGACCCAGATCAATTTCTTCATTAAGCTTGATTGAACAACCCATGTGCTTTCAATCTGACAGCCCTGATTTGCTTCCCAAATAGGCGAGATCCAACAGTTGAGATCAGTCTGCAGGCCAAAACGAACGGCTCAGATCAAACATGGAGAGGTATTTAAACCTCTCTACCTTGACTCCCCAAAAACCAAGTTGCCAAATATCACTAAAAAGTAGAAGATGGGCAGCCTAAAAGTGAATTAGTCGCCGGAAAAAAAGAGCGGCCACGTCACCGTCGCACCAGAGACTTAAACCAACACTGGTAAGTGAATTTTTCACCCATACATTTCGTTTTTCCATTCTAAACACCCAAAACCCTTATCGATGCCAAAAAATCAAAGGGGAAGCTAGAAACGGAGGGTGGAGCTCGACTGAACCGCTGCACTCGCAATTAAAAAACCCCTCCAGTGAGCCTAATTCCTCTTTCTATTTTCTTCTGTTTCTCGACTCTAGGTTATCTAACCCATCTTTGGTGTAGGGAAAACAAAGGAACGATGTGACTGCGAGGAAGAAACAGCAAAGCTGCCATACCAAAAAATCAGAACTATTGGTAAGTTTCGGTTCTCCTCCTTTTTCCACCAACAAAGGCCACCTAACCCCGAATTGTGCAGGTTTTCACTCAGAATCGATCGAAACCGGCCTGACTGAGAGGAGGAGCTATCGTATACGATGGAACTGACACTAGAGCACGGTGACACCATTGTGCCGAACCCTAAACTGGTCCCATAGAGAATTTTGACCCTTTTTCAGCCATTTGTTTGCATATTTCCATGATATTTGATGTATGTTTTAGTTTTCATAGAAAAACCCAAGAAATCTGGGAGCCAGGAACCGCTGGAAAGCGTAGTGGAAAAGGTAGTATTGCAGATACTGATTCGGAATAAGAATCCCTCACTCTTTCTCCCGTTACAGTTAAATTAAAGTTAAATAAACAAATAATAAACAGAAAATTATAAATATTGGCGACCTCTTGATTAATTAAATACAGGTCACCGATGGAGCCAGTAACTGATCAGTGTATAATTATTCCTAACTTATCTGTGTTACCTATTTGTTGTTATATTATTTTAATTGCCTACTGTTACTTTGTGTACTTTAATTTATTGATTTTAATTACTTTTCTTGTTTATTTAGTTTACTCAATCGTTTTCATTCTTATCCGTTAATTCAGTTTAAAACGAATATCTTAATTATGTTTTCTTGAATCATTGGGTCTTAATTTATATCGCCTATTAAAAGATCGTTCTATTTTGCTGTAATTATGAAATGTGAGTGTTGCACGTATTTGGTGGCTAGATGGTAATGGAAACTTGTATGTGTATGCAACGTTGTTAAAAATTAAAGGGTCTTACCGGGTGTCATGAGAAAAGGTAAACGGACCTGATACATAGGGTAAACCCTGCCGTGAACGTTACCCTCGGTCGGACAGGGTTGATGAATCTCATACCGTAAAGGGTTGGAAATTGTTTGTTTAAGCTCATTACCGACGGGGTATTAAAGCGGTAGTATATTTAGCGCCCATTACCGGACGAGGTATGGGGACAACCAGTTGATTAATAGAATGGATACTTGGTCTACGTGTAGTGGGAACCTCTATGGACCCCTACCGTAAGTAAGTAGAAAAGGTAAAAATTGATTATTGTTAGTCCTTTAAAATGTTTAATGTGAATTACTATTCTAGTTCTTTCCTTCATAAATGGCATATGAGAACTTAAAGGTGAGTGAGGAATGAATATTTTTAGTTAAATGAATTTACTTACGAAATAAAATAAGGTCTATTGGTTATTTTATGATTTCTACAAATCTTTAATTTTCTGTATCGATGATAAATTGTTGATATTTTTATTGAGATAGTATAGCTCACTCATTTATTATTAACAATTTCAAATCAAGACGATCAAGATCCGGATCTTAAATAGTAAGAAAATTAGTAAAAAAGTTATCTTCCGTTTTTTTAGTTGCGCAGTAGAAATTGATCACATAGGTTTTTCATATTACAATTTTTTTTTCTTTTATATTTTTTAGGGGATATTCCCGTATCTCTATTGGACATTTAAATTAAACTATGCAAGGAATGTAATATCAAATTCTAAATTACTTATGCAAAATTAATAAATTTTAATATTATTTATTTAATCATTTTTGGGCTTTTACATAGTTTCTCTATGTCAACTTGTACAATCTTCTCAAAACTATAATATAATTAGTTATAAATAGATTTTCAAAGTTAAAAGTATCCTAATCATGTTATTTCTCATTTTGAAACAAAATTAGTGACTAAAGATTTTTTTAAGAATAATTAAAAGTACACGAAATATTTGGCCATGTTATTAGACGAGCAATAATAAAGATCGTATCAACATTTTCCCTATCATAATAATAGCTAACTACGAGCATAACGTCAATAATGCATTCCTTAATGGGAATCTCAAAAAAGGTATGTTTGTGCCACAGTTACTCGACTTTCCTGATTTAAATCCCCCGAAACATATATTTAAGTTAGAAAAATTTCTTTATTACCTCAACAAATCCAAAGACCTAGTATGACTTTACAACTCAATAGTAGATTTTTCTTTTTTTTTTTTTATATTTTATTAGAGTTAATGTAACTATTTTTTTAATATATATTGACGATGTTATTATCATAATTATAATTTTTTTTTGATTATCTAATAAGAATTTAGATATAATATATTATTTTTTTTTTAAAAAAATTCAAATTATGCTAAAATTTAGTGAGATAGTAATTTTTTTTAAAAAAATACATCCGGAATCTTTTGCAGCAGACTAAATATGTTAAAAGTCCAAGTCTTAGTTCTCAACCAATGGCTATGAACACTTATCATTTTCTTGACTATCCTTTTTGGCAACTTCCATTACCTTTCCTTTTACTACACCTAATATTTGCCTTTGCTTTCAATAATTTCTCATAGTAAATGCATCATCTCACAAAACTCCACTGCACCAGACGATTATATATATATATATATATATATATATAATATAAATGGTCAACACACACACACATGTATATGTATATGTATATGTATATGTATATGTATATGTATATATAATTGAATTGATTAAGTAGGACACTGTCTGTGTAGGTTAATATCGGTATCAATCATGCTTTCATGGCGGCTGTCTTTTCCCTATCCAGTCGGCCATTTCCAAGCTTTCAACATTTTATCAAATTTTATCTATTAGCTTCTAATCCTCGACGTGACATCTTCCTAAATTTTATTATCCTTAATTAACTTTTTAATTACTCTCCAATCGCCTGCTTTCCTTATTAATCTATTAAATCATATCACATATTAAATCCAAATATTTTTCTTACTTTAAAGCAAAATTAAAAACTAATTTTGGATAAACTCTATGATTTACTTTCAGGATACATATATATATATATATCCAAATCAATCACCATATTTATTTAAAATATATTTTATTAGGTGTATTGACCCTAACATTTAAAGGGTCTTTAGATTAAAATATATTTTAATTAAAAAAAAAAACTTTAAATATAATACTTATTGTGATTAGGAAAAGAACTTTCACTAAAACAAAAGTTTATAATTAAGTAGGAAATTAAGAGTAGTTTAGCCATTAATTTTAATTAAAATATTTCTCAACAAAATAAAGTACTACAACATATATAAAATTTAATTAGAAAAATTAATTATATATTTTTAATCACTTTTAATGAATTTAGTTTTTAACTTTAATTTTACCAAACATTTGATGATGACTTATTAAATTCTTAAAAATTAAAAGATTGTTAGGTAATCCAAATATTTTTCTTACTTAAAAAGTACTATATAAACTTTAAACTTAAAAGCAAAGGCATATACAAAACATAATACCAAATATATCCACCTACCCCTATTGGTTTCAAACAAAATTTTACCATTATATACATATATTGAAAAACCCAAGTTTACACTACTCTTTGTGTAATACTATAATTAATAGCCAATGCACCTAAAATTATGAACAAAATTCTTTAAGCTACAAAAAGGCAACAAGATAAAAAAATATAAATGAGTTAAGAAGTAAAAATCGTGAAATTTTATTATAATTTAGATAATTAAATAAAATTAGATACAATCAGTATAATATTTAGTAAATAATAGTATATTACTAAATCTCTATTAAATTAGTAATATAAAAGTGTGCATACTACTTGATACGATGTAAAATAGTTAAATATTTAGTACTAAGTATGATTAAATATTATTTAATAAAATTTTTAGTAAATTAGACACTAAATTATAACATCTAATCAAATTTTAAGTGCTAATTTGTAAAAGTGAAACAAATTTCTAGCAGCCAAAATTAAAGAGGTTTATGCATATAATGAATTTCTTAACATTCTATTTCTTATCCTCCAAGAAATTAATTTAAGAAAAAATAAAAAGGGAAGAAACAAAAAAGAAAGACTTTTAGACTTTTTCTTCTTTAAAAAAAAAGTCAAGCTTTTTGCAAAGTTTTTCTAGCAAAAATTGGACAGTGTCCACGTCGTGGAAGTAACTTCAGAATAAGATAGATGAGGTGGCATCATTTGATTGGTTCACAGCAAAACGACAAAAGCAAATAAAGCTCAGCTCAGCTCAGCTCAACTGGAGGAGAAGGTTGTGTAAATACATGATGTATGTACTGCATTCAATACATTTGGCGCCCGTCTTGCTGTCGTTTGCTTGTCTCCCTCCCCTAAAGCTTACTACTTTTTTACTTGTTAACTTCCCTCTTCTTCCTTCTCTGTTTACCCACTTGAACTTGCTTACATGTGTAGTCATTTTTATATATGTTCATGCATGAAGTCATGGAGTTTTCACTCTTTTTCTCTCTCTCTCTCTTGTTAGGAATGTTCCAGCAACTGGGGAAATGAGTTATCTCGACTTATGTTTCTTTCTTATATAGCTTGTTCTTGAAGCTGTTGGGTCATGTTTTTGTCCTTCTCTACCAACTGGTACTCTTTTCTGTTCTCTTCTTTTCTCTTTTTATCACTCCCATGTCTTAAGTTCTTGTTAATTTTCTTGTCTGCTTGTTTGGTTGCCTAGAAAAAGTAATTAGCTTGAAGAGAAACAAACAAGAAAAATCTCATCTTTATTGATTTTTGTTCATTAAATTTGTGAACCCATGGTGTCATAAGTAATAATTTGATGCAGTTTTATGGAATAGTTGCACTTTTATTAAAGGCAGGCTTGATATAACGATCATATATGAAATTACTCTGTTCTTTTTGATTATCTTCTTCTTCTTCCCTTCTTCCTCGAATTTTTCTTATCTGCAACGAAACAGGGCAGGGGCTCGTTTAGATACATGATTTACTCTTTCGGTTCCACAAGGGTTTTTATCGGAGTTCATATTTACTACTGTTGATTAACTCGTTGTATTATTCATTAGTGTGGAATTGGGAATATCTCGTCTCTGTCCCCGTTTGGCTGTTGAAAAAGTTGTTTATATTTCACCAGAAGTTTGAAGGGATGATAAGTCGGTCAAAACGAACAAAACGGAATTAGGCCCAGCTAGTTGACTCTTTGTTTCCTGCAAGTTGACTGATGAAAATTTGTTTTTGTTCCTTCATTTTAAACAGACCGTATCCAGGCAAATTAGATCATTTTCAGTTGGAATTCGATTATGAAAATTTCCTTTTCCTTAATTCTTATTCATGTTTCATGAATTCTGCCTTTGACAGATTGTTTGATAAGCTAGCTTAGGAAAAGTAAAAAAGATGGCGCATAGAAGAGGGTCTGATCAGTCGCCCCCGAGGCGGATTATGAGGACTCAAACTGCTGGTAATCTAGGAGAGAACATGTTGGATAGTGAGGTGGTGCCTTCTTCTCTTGTCAAGATTGCTCCGATTCTTCGTGTTGCCAATGAAGTTGAGGGTAGCAACCCCAGAGTTGCTTATCTCTGTAAGTTGAAGTTACCTTCATCGTCTACATCCATTAATTGATAAATATGTCTGTAAAGGTTTATGAACCTGCAATTTGATTATGTGTCCACTTGATTCAGAGCTGACAAACTGAACAGTTTCTGACAAATTGTGCGGATTAGTGGTTCTCTTTTTTTGATTCTGTTTGTCTCAACTATAATGTTTTGTTGGTCTTTATACGGGTATCAAGGGACAGCTAAGGCGTGTGGTCTTTTCTTATAGTAATATCTATTTCAATTTATTTTCATTTGGTATCCTTGGAAACAAAGATTCAAAGGGAACTTAGAAGAAATCGTCTCGAATATTAGAGTTGTAGATCATATTAAATGCTAAACTATAATTTGCATGTTAACATGAAGAAGTTAAAAGAAAATGACTGGCTGTACCAAGGGATTTGAGCCACATTCTTGGGCGGTACTTAAGCTAACCTTGATCTGCAGTTGGTGTGATGCTCAGTATGTAGTTCTTGCGGGAAAGCATTAGGCACAGTCTTTATATGTCATGATGTTTCTTTGCCTGAGGGAACAATATGTTGCACTGTGTTCAGTCCCCTGCCTAGCCATGCAGGAGGAATACTTCTGCGAGGTGATGTAGAATTTAATCATTTGTCTGCATTGGCAACTTTATTAATATGGATAATTTTGTACTCGATTATAAATAGTTGATTATCTGCATTGGGATTTGGTTGTTTGATTATATATTTTCTTGATTGTGTCTTAATTCAATCAATAGCCAATTTGATGCCTTCTTTCTTTTTGTTCTCTTATTGGGATTGTCTAAGCAAACATGTCATCAAATAAAATGAGATGATTTCTAGTCTATTTATCTCAAATACAATTAAGGTTGTGAATGCTGTATTCAGGTCGCTTCTACGCATTTGAAAAAGCTCACAGGCTAGATCCAACATCTAGCGGGCGTGGGGTTCGACAATTTAAGACTGCACTTCTTCAACGTCTAGAAAGGGTAAGTTTTGATTCTTTAATTCCATTGCAAATCAAAATTTTCTTCTACCAATATTAGCCATTAAGAAAATGTACTTGTAAGAGATATTTTGCTATATTTCCTTTAATCATTGAGGCTAATTCCTCAATGGTAATTTTTTGGGCAAAAGGAGATGGGGGAGGGAGGTAGTTCATCTATGCCTGGATTTCTATGGAAAAAGACCATTGCTCAGGTTGCAAATTGAGATAAAGTATCTGCTTTATTCTTCTTAGGAAAACACGACAACATTGGCAGGAAGGAGAAAAAGCGATGCTCGTGAAATGCAGGATTTTTATCAGCAGTACTACAAGAAGTATATCGAAGCTTTGCAAAATGTGGCTGATAAAGCTGACCGGTTAGGCTTCTTATATAATAGTTTCCTAGATGCTTGGGTTTATTATTTTTTACTCTTAAAAATAATAAGTTCATGCTCCAATCTCAGTGCTCAACTTACAAAAGCATACCAAACGGCTGCTGTCCTTTATGAAGTCTTGAAGGCCGTGAGTCAGACAGAGGAAGTGGAGGTGGCTGATGAGGTGAAGTTTTGATTTCTTAACTTTGTTTCTTGTCCATGCTTTTAATCTCATGGGCTTGTATGAAGGTTGTGATATATGAACATTTATGTTCGACCCTTTCATTTCGCCTTAAATTTTTTGGACGTTGATCACGCAATTCAATTGTTAATTTCTGTTGAAGTATAGTGAATAAAAATGAGATTTTTAGGTCTCAAACTTGTGCAGTCCAATTTCTATACTTCATAAAATAATAAGTGGATATTCAGTTATTTAAACTTCTGCAATAATCAATCACCCAATTCAGTTATTCCAACTAAATCTTTATTTGTGCTGAGGATATTTTCTTGACATTTTCAAGTTCTAGAAGAGCTGTATTTAGTGTTTCTCCTTATTCTGTTTATAGATTTTGGAAGCTCACACTAAAGTTGCAGAAAAGACACAGATATATGTACCATATAATATTCTTCCTCTTGATCCTGATAGTCAAAATCAGGCTATAATGAGATACCCTGAGGTCCGTTCTACTTTCCTTGCCTTGTATGTTTGACTTAAGAAGCTTCTTTTCCTTGTTAATCTGGCTATCCTTGTTGATCTTAATTTTTAGATAAAAGCTGCTGTCTCTGCACTTCGTAATACCAGGGGTTTACCATGGCCACATGGCCACAAGAAGAAACCAGATGAGGACATTCTAGACTGGCTCCGGATTATGTTTGGTTTTCAGGTGACTGAATGAATTGTCTTTAACCTTTTCTTAGAACTCATCACCAGGTTCTAATCTAGATAGCCATTGTAGAAAGATAATGTAGCAAATCAAAGGGAGCATTTGATTCTATTGCTTGCAAATGTTCATATTCGGCAATTTCCAAGGCCCGATCAGCCACCCAAGGTTCTTTTCTTCTTAATTTGCTCAAGTTTCTAGTTTTATTTTCTTTGAGACTGGTCCTCATTCAATGTTACCATCCTTCACATTTTTTTTTAGTTGGATGATAAAGCCTTGACGGATGTTATGAAGAAACTTTTCAAGAACTACAAGAAATGGTGCAAATATTTGGGTCGCAAAAGTAGCCTTTGGTGAGAATTCTCATTTGCGATTGGATGGATTAATTATAATCCTGTGGCCATTAACTCTGAGCAAATGCTCTCTTTCAGAGAGCACTTCAGTTTCATTGTTAATCTATGTGTATTTACGTACATTTTGCAGTAGTTAGATATAATTTTAGTAGTTTCTTTGTTTCCTTTCTTCTGACAACGCTGAAAATTTACATTCTTATTTTAAACTGATAGGTTGCCAACCATTCAACAGGAAGTGCAACAACGGAAGTTACTATACATGGGTCTGTATCTTCTGATATGGGGAGAAGCTGCAAACTTAAGATTCATGCCTGAATGCCTTTGCTATATTTATCATCACGTATGGATCTAGCTCTTTTATTAGATTGTCGATTTGTAACATTCCACTTTCAGTTTGAGCATCAACCTTAGGATTTGGGAAGAATTCTAGAATGCTTTTTCTCCATTTATCATGTATGGGTTGAGTTATCCTCCAGAACTCTTACCTTATGGACTTTGAGAGTTTTATCACGGTTTTACATTCAACCTACTTTGAGGAAAAATGGGGATGAATGGAGATATGGTTTCGTGTTGGCTTCAATAATGTGTTTCACATGAATACGCTACCATTCATGAAAAGTTGAAGAATGTAAATATGGATATGGTTCATTAGTTTTGAAAGAGAGAATGTAAGCCTAAGATTTTAGGTTAAATGCTGGAACAGGGATTCCCAGAAGTCCTTTCATAAATAATTTGTGGCCTTTTCTTGTATAAATTTCAAGTCTTATGGAAGATGGTAATTTTTTTATTTTTATTTATCTATTATAAATCTGGATCCATTGACTCCTCAAACTTGGCTGTAAGTTTTGACCCTCAATTGGCTTTTTTATTGACCTAACTTATAGGTTATTTGAATATTAGGATGCTTTTAGAGAGAAAGGAGGTTACTTAGGCAGTAACTAACTTTGGTATATAAATGCTCTTGCACCTTCAACACCAACTATTTGTCATTATTTCTCTTTATTATCATATGCATTTATGTATACAATTTTATAATTTAATAAATGTTCATTATCGCCTGGAAACTCTTTGTCTAAATTTCTGTAACAACTCAGAGAAATTGGACCAAGGCTTTTTTTTTTCTTTTCTGTTCTCATTTTTCAGATGGCATTTGAATTATATGGTATGTTGGCTGGAAGTGTCAGTCCAATGACAGGTGAGCATGTAAAACCCGCCTATGGTGGCGAAGAGGAGGCTTTCTTGAGGAAAGTAGTGACTCCAATATATGAAACAATAGCAAAGGTGTTGCTTCACTTGCCTACTAGGCTATGAAATTCACTTAATGGTTTATTTTGATTGCTTCATATCTATGTTCGCTGGTTGTTTTGCAGGAAGCCATACGGAGCAGTGGAAAGTCGAAGCATTCACAATGGAGAAATTATGATGATTTAAATGAATACTTCTGGTACCAATAATTTTTTTTTTGGGTGTCATCTTGAATTTTCAATGTATAAGACTTCAAACTTTACATTCCCTTGGTGTGAAATTGCAGGTCAATTGAATGTTTTCGTTTAGGTTGGCCGATGCGTGCTGATGCTGATTTCTTTTGCCAGCCTGTTGATAAGCTGAAATATGACAAAGATGAGGTGGGGGTTACAATTTTTGCAATTACTCTTTCCAAATATCTTTCTCCTGGCAAATTGTTGTTGCTTTCCTTTATTATATAAACATTTAATTGTTTTGGATTACGTTCTTATGCTTCACACTAAACATTTTTACAATTAGTCGCAGAGAGATTACAGATGGTTATGTATGTAGATTACACTGTCACCGTAAGCCTTTTTCAAACTAGTTTAAAAACCTTATTCTATTAAGAATCAACATTCAGTCCTGTCACCATAATGTCTTTGACCAGAATACTTCAAAACTTCATTGTTAGAAACAGGGAGATAGATTTTGTTTGAACTAAATTTTACTCAAGCAGACAACTTATTAAGCAGAAATATAAACCACTATACTTATTGGCCTGAATATAGTGTGCAATATTACTTTTGCAGAAACCAGCTTATCGAGATCGGTGGATTGGGAAAGTTAATTTTGTTGAAATACGCACCTTTTGGCATATTTTCAGAAGCTTTGATAGAATGTGGACTTTTTATATTTTGTGTTTACAGGTACTCATTTCACTTATCAATCTTTCGACTTTTTTGTTGTGTGCATCTTCTTAATCTGATGACTTATGTTGGCATATATTATCTAATGAAGGCAATGATCATTATTGCTTGGAATGGATCTGGGGAATTAAGTTCCATACTTGATGGTGATGTTTTCAAAATGGTTCTCAGCATCTTCATAACTGCAGCTATATTGAAGCTTGGACAAGGTAATTGATGCTCGTTAAAGTATCTGATTTCTGTATTGTTATATTGCCATCATTCATTTGTTTATGTTGTTGTTTTCTTCTTATTAATTTTTCTCGAATTTTTAAGCTTCTGAATTTGTTTTGGAAGAGAGCTAAGCTTCTGAAATAGCCTTTCACTGCTTTGACCTGAACTTATTGATTGCATCATTTACAAGATTGAACTAGTACTGAGAGGCTGATGCATTTATGCATAACATGGCTAAGTGAACAGAAACATAAGGTACTTTAGAATCCATTCAATGACTAAGAGCATGGTTGGTTCCTTCTAATGACCCATGTGATGTAAAAATTACAATTTCTCAATTATCGATTGTATTACATTGTATTGTGTAACTTATTATTTTGCATCATGTCAAAGATTATCAAATCCAAATAAACATGTTATAAATAAATGGGGTAAAGGTTCCTAGAACACTTCTATAGTTTTCAATGTGTCTCAAGTTGCATCCTACATTTTCAAACATAACAATCTGGACCTGCAAGATCACTATATTACAAATCACCTCCTTCCATTTATTCTTCCTGTCTAATCCAGTAGTTAAAGGGATACACATATTTAGTCTGTTATTAAATTTATTTTATCATATAATTTGTGTAAATCGCTACTATTATGTTTTTGTATCATTAGGTTCTATGGCTTAATGCTTTATGAGGTTAGAGTTCTACATCCTGACACCTTACAAAGTTATAAATAATACATTCATATGATTAATAAAATACCATTGAATATTTCTTCATACATGTCCATTGTATCTGAGCTACTGCACCCAAAAAAATCAATTTGTTTTCTCCTCTCTCGGTTGTTAATCAGTACTACTGGTTGGCCTGTGTCTCTTCTCTTCCCTGCCTCAAACTCTATCCTATAAACATGAGTTTGTTTTCTTTCTCCACTGTAGCTAACTCCTCTTCTTCTTCTTCTTTCCTTCAACTTTTCTGTCCTTCTCATCCTTTTTCTTTTGGAGTTTCTAACATCAAGAATTTTGTTAGCGAACAACTTGATTTCACCAACGTTTGTATTGAAAATTTCTCTTCATTCTGGTATTTCAAGACCACCAACGTTCTCAATAACATCAATGACACTGGTTTATGCCCGGTTGAAACTTTGCTTGGGGACTGAAAGCGTGTGGTCAACATCAACGAGGATCTTCTTTGGCAATTCCTCTGTTCGTTGTTACCATAAATGCCTCTTAGCAATTTTCCACAAACTTTTGTTGGGCACTTTACTTTTAATCACAAGGGATGAGGTTGTTGGCATGGCAGAAATCACAAAATTGACCTGCCACTCGGCCTGCTAGTTGTTATCACCAGGCTTGACGTGGAATTCTTGGTCCCACTTGAAGTAATCTTTGGAATTGCATCTCTATATGTTCAGCATGATCATATTGTCCAAGAATGTTCTTTGTTGTTCAGGCAGGTACCAATGCAACCCTTAACCCAAGCTAACTCAATTTATAGGTAGTTCGCTTCTCTTCAACTCCAAGAGCCGCATGAAACATTTAGGTTGCCTGATATTGACGTGATCTTTCATATGACAGTCACACAAAATCTTCTCAACCTTCCTTCTTTCACAAACAATTCTGAAGTCTTGTCTGGAGATGGGTCCATACATAATACATCTCATATTGGTTTTTCTATTCTTAATTGTTCTGATTAAAAGTTTCATTTGAACAATGTTTCTGTTATGCCTTCTCTTACTGCCAGTCTTATCTCAGTTAAAGTTTCAATAATGATAACTCTCGTTTAATAGAATTTGATTCTGTTGGTTTTTGTGTTGTGGACCTTCAAACTCAGCCACTTATTATCAAATGCAGTTGCCCATGTGATTAATATGCCTTTCCATCTTTAACCTCTGTTTTTCTCCTCTTCAATTTTCCCATCTCATGTTGTTTTCATATCAACTCTTGAGCTTGGTGTGTCATTGTTTAGGATATTGCAATCCCTCTGTCTTATCTAGGCTTGAGCATGCTCTGGTTAATCCTTTATTAGTTTGTAAACTTGATTCCCTTACTTCTGAGTTTTGTTTGAAAGGCAAAAGCACTAACATATTTTTAACCACTTGTCTACTCAAATATTGGAAATTGGAATAAAGGAATAAAGATATTTTTTTCAACTGGGATACACAATCAAATTCATTATGTCAATTAATTATTTTATAAGTTATAATAGATGGAAAAGATGATTGGTAATTAGTTATCATGGAATTGGGTGACAGCAATATCCTCTTGTTTGCGTCTTTATACTTTGGTAATTGGTAATCACTATGACAGTCTTCTACTTTTGAAGCTCTCATACAAATGCCTCTTTCATTTTACAGCTGTCCTTGATATAATTCTTAGTTGGAAAGCAAGGCGGAGCATGTCATTGTATGTGAAGCTAAGATATATTTTGAAGGCTCTTTCGGCGGCCGCATGGGTTATAATTCTACCAGTAACTTATGCATATAGTTGGAAAAATCCTCCTGGATTTGCCCAGACCATTAGAAGTTGGTTTGGAAATAGCCTAAGTTCACCCTCCTTGTTCATTTTGGCCATCCTCATCTACTTATCGCCAAACATGCTCTCTGCAATATTGTTTATGTTCCCCTTCATTCGACGGTTTCTTGAAAGGTCAAACTATAAGATTGTGATGCTCATGATGTGGTGGTCTCAGGTATTAGAACCATTGATGAAAACTACATTCATGTTTTTGCTATTTTTCACATTAAATTTTGTGCATGCAAATAGATATTATACTGGGAGTATTAAACTTCTTGTTGTATAGTTAATCTTTCTTCCATTCAAGCTATTTTGTCATAGTCTTCTCTGATTCTCTAATATGCTGCAGCCTCGGCTCTATGTTGGAAGGGGAATGCATGAGAGCTCATTGTCACTTTTCAAGTAAGACTAGAGTGTTGAATTGTTTAATGGAATAGAATGGTTGGTTTTTAGTTCCCTGATTAAAGTTTTCTCTTTAATTTTCTAGGTACACCATGTTTTGGGTCGTCCTTATGGTAGCAAAGTTAGCATTCAGCTTTTATGTTGAGGTAATTCTTTCGCAAATGTTAAGCAATAGTACTGCCACTAGACAAAGCGTTTAGTTAGTTGAGTAAAGATAATGCTTTCAAATATCCAACCTTGTTTAATATGAAAAATGATTTCTTAGGCATAAATCTTGTTTGTTTTTCTCAATTCTCTGAACAGAATGCAGGTTAAGGAAAAGTGAGTTTTCCTCTTTTCTTTTTTTTTTTTCAAATTTCAATGTCTAAATTTCTCACTTTTTTTCCTAGCATTTGAAGTGAGTAAAACTTGGAATAACAAAGTCTACATTACACAATTGCCAGCAATGTCAATAAAAAAAATACTTCCTTATTCTTTCCTTCTTCATACCAGATTAAGCCTCTTGTGCGCCCAACAAAAGAAATCATGCGAGTTCACATAAAAACCTATAAGTGGCATGAGTTCTTCCCTCGAGGTAATATTTTATAGATTTAGCAAAATGATTGTTTTGAGTATTGTGGAAATGTTTTCTGATATTTTAATTTGCTTCTTGCAGCCAAGAACAACATTGGCGTTGTCATTGCTCTCTGGGCTCCTATAATTCTGGTATTCTCATATTTATTTCATTGTAACATCAATTTCATCCCTCTGTTCTTTTATGTGTTTATTTTCTTCTAGTGCTATTGATTTTTGCAGGTTTATTTTATGGATACTCAAATTTGGTATGCTATATTTTCCACTATGGTTGGAGGTATATATGGTGCTTTTCGTCGTCTTGGAGAGGTGATTATAGCTTCTTTTCTCCATATATCCTCAGAGTCATAGCAGTATAATACACTCTCTCATTGTTACAATATGCTTTTTATTCAATCAATATATTTCCTCTCTGACATTTCAAAAAAATATATTTCCTCTCTGAAGGTTGGTCTGCATCAACATTAGTGTTCAATCCTGGATGCACTTAATCAATAGAACTTTGTTTTGCTTACAGATAAGAACATTGGGAATGTTGAGGTATCGATTTCAATCACTACCAGGTGCCTTCAATGCCTGCCTGGTTCCAGCAGGAAAGGATGAGAAGACAAAGAAAAAAGGACTTAAAGCAACTTTCTCTAGCAAATTTGAGCAGGTTTGGTTTCTATTCATTGTTAATGCCAACATGGTGATGGTTAATAATCAGATGCTATCTGGCCATGAAGTCTAGCCTGGCCTCCCACGTGGCAAGCAGCATTTAAACCCTGGGGAAAGGCTCCCTTGCTTTCATTAGCTTAAAAGAAAATATGAGCAATTAATGTCGGCTGTTGCAATTCATCAATTCAATAAAAAGCTTCTCTTTTTAAAATTTCATGAAATGTGTACTAATTTCAGATCCCATCTAGTAAAGATAAGGAGGCAGCAAGGTTTTCCCAGATGTGGAATCTAATAATCAGTAGTTTCAGAGAGGAGGATCTAATTAGCAATCGGTATCATTACAATACTGCATCCTTATTCAAAACCAGTTTATAACTTTAATTGTTCAGACTCGTGAATTATATCTGCAGAATGCTAATATCCATTACTTTTGTAGGGAAATGGACCTCTTGCTTGTCCCATATTGGACTGACCCAGATTTGGACCTTATCCGGTGGCCACCTTTTTTACTTGCAAGCAAGGTGCATTTGTTTTCAACAGTTTCCTTCAGCTTCTTAAAATTCCATCATGATCTTTACTCTGCTTTTACTCTGTAGATTCCTATAGCATTGGATATGGCAGAGCATAGCAATAAAAAGGACCGTGAGCTGAAGAAGAGATTGAATGCTGATAATTATATGCGTTGTGCAGTTCAAGAGTGTTATGCTTCTTTTAAGAAT